TGATTGTACAAATATGATACATTCATTTTGATACATTCATTTTTGATACATTAATTTTGTTAGCTCAATTGATCTTTGGAAAATCTCTTATTTCAACTGGCAGAGTCAATATCTCCCGGGGCTGCAGATGGTTCCGTGAGCCCGGCCGGGCTCGGTGCTTGCGGCCGGAGCTGTTTTCCCATGGAGGTTTCTGCAGCGGCTGCGCTGGGGCTGTGTCAGGCTGGGCCGCGCTGGGGCAGGGCCAGGATCTCAGCAGCCAGGCCAGAGCCCAGCAGCAGCAGGGCCAGGGCCAATGGTTTATCCTGCCCTGCCCACTGGCTGCGGGCGAAGCCCAAGGGCGGCAGAGCCTTGGCCGAGCCAGCCCGGCCCAGGGCTGCTCCTGGGGCCCGGCGGATCCTGGCCGGGCCCGGGCTGGCGGCGGGGCAGGGCTCGGCAGGGCCAGATGTCAGCACCCGCAGCCACGGCCCGGCCTCGGCCCCGCGGCCTCCCCTGCCCTGCCCGGCAGCCGATGGCGCCTGGCGGCTCCCTGGGAAGGGGCCCGGCCCCACGGCAGGAGCCGCCCAGCCCCACGGCCGAGACGGGGCTGGGCCGGCCTCGGCACCTCTGTGGGGCCAGAAGGGAGAGAGACCCAGCCAGGCTTTCTCATCTGTAACTTGTGTCTGCACAGAGGCGTCTGCAACTTCCTTAGTGCTTTAACAGATTGTCAGCTCTCAAAGCTAATTACCTGTTATGAATAAATTTAGTTTTATATTGGAAATGTTAATTAAAATGCTATTAACTGTTCAAACCCCGTTAAAATCCCCTTATGTGCACCCTTGTCATGTTTCCCCCTTGCCCCGCTTGCCCTTCACTTTGTGACCGCCGCGTTTTTACCGCCGCTGCTCCCAAAAATGGCGGCCGCGCCGACTCCGGCAATATGCAAATTGCGAACCGAGCGCAACATCCCGAAAAGAGCCCCAAGGACAACGAGCCACACCAAATTCGGGGCTGCGGACCGGATAGGACAATCGGTAAGAGGTCCCCGGACATCGGCAGACCCGCGGAATAGCCGCCGACATGCCGCCCTAACGGAACAGTGCGACTGCGGAAACAGGACCCCAGACAACGAGCCGAAAAATGCCTTTTTGGGCACGCCGGCGAGGACGGAAGCCCCGGTTCTGCTGCCTAGCAGACCCGATCTTCTCCTCCTCAGCGTCGCCAAGTGGGAGCAGCGAAGGTGTGTGCGACCCCTCGGGCCCCCAACCCAGAGCTGGTCACTCAATAAAGGCCTTAAAAAGGAGCAGGTCTCCTGGCCAATTTATTTCATTACTGACTGTCAGACATAGAGGAAACTGCTAGCAGCTTCTCTCAGGACATCACTTCCGTGATGCAAAACCACCACAGCAGCACAGAGCTCCTTTGTCCATATGTGGTGGCCATGTGCCCGTGAAGCGATACGCGGAATAAATAAATTGACTCCACAACTCAATGTAGTTATGAAGTGGGTATGTATGCCAGCGCCCGGTACAAGTGAGATAGCTCTCCAAAATCTTGTGCCCCGAGCTGGAGTTTGTCCCACAATTTTATTCACAAAGGTGTTCCATATGCAATACATTATACAACTTTTCTATGCATATTCAACCCCTGGCTCCGCCTGTCTTCGCCTCTCATGCTAAATAGGTCCACGCCCTTCTGGGCATGCGTGGTTTTTTGTGGTGGTCTTTACAGGGGTCGCTGGTGTTCTTCTGAAGCTGAAACCATAGTCTTCTTCTGCATTGAACTTTTGAACTCTTCTCCTCTGCGCATGCGCTTTTGGCTTTCTGCTCTGTTATCTGGGTAAGTTTATCATCCTCGACAGGGGAGCCTCCTTGTCTGAATTCTTTGCATTCCTGGTCTTCTTTGGTATTTGTCTTTTTGCAAGAAGCTTTAAAGAATTTTTTTTTTTTATGTCTTTTGCGCTATGGCAGAGGTTTCTTAAAATTCAACACATGATTGTACAAATATGATACATTCATTTTGATACATTCATTTTTGATACATTAATTTTGTTAGCTCAATTGATCTTTGGAAAATCTCTTATTTCACCCGAGGCCTCAGAAACCCTCCTTGGGAGATCTCTGAGTCCTCTCCAAGGTGTTTTCAAATGAAAACATTCAGCTCATATACTAAGAAAATCACCAGAGGACATGGCCAGCCTGACCTGTCTGTCCTGGCTACTTTTGTCTGGGAGCAATCCTTGGATATATGGAATTTGGGAGGACAAATTCTAATTTTGGCCATTGTCCCTGGACATGAAGGATGGTTCTTTTCCACAGGAAGGAAGGAACAGAGCCCCAGTGTTTCCTGGAGGGATGAGACGTGACCACCAGAGGCCATATTCTGTATCAGGTTTTTTTGGGGGAGATACCCTTACATATAGGAAATTTTTTAGGGAGACTGTCAGTTTTGGCAATGGGCATCAGAAAAGATGGGCAGTTCTTTTCCATAGCAAGGAAAGCACACAGCTCCATTGCTCCAGGAGCTGATGAGAGGCAGCCTTTGACATTCCAACATCAGCCAGACCTGTCAGGTGGCCCCTGGGAGGCCAAGCCATCCGGACCTGTTCCATGTTCCCCCAGTTCCATGGGGCCCCACAGTGTCCCAATGGTCCTTTGCTTCCAGAAGGCCCTGAGATGCCAAAATGCCCCCTTGGTGTCACAATGGCCCCTTGGTGACACAAGGCCCTGAAGGGTCAGAATGGTCTCCATGGTTCCATCAGGCCCCACAGAGTCATAATGGTCTTTGGGCCCATGAAGCCCCGTGGTGTCACCATGGCCCCTTGGTTCCATGGGTTCCAGTGGTGCCACAATGATCCCCTTGGTTCCATGAGGTGCCCACAGTGTCACAGTGATCTCCATGCAAAGGAAAGAACCAAACCCCAGTGTGGCAGGGGCAGCCACCAGAGGCCAAGGCCAGCAGAGTTGATGGTACTGGCAGATTTTGCCTAGGAGTAACCCTTAGATATTCAGAATTTTAGAGGAGGAATCCCAATTTCAGACATGGACACCTGGAGGAGAAGGATTTTTTTTTTTGCACAGGAAGGAAAGTACAGAGCCCAAGTGTTTCAAATACAGAAGAAAGAGTTGGCTTCTGGCAGGCTCAGCCAAACAGACCTGTTCTTCCTGGTAGCTTTTGTCATGGAGGAATCCTTGGATATATGGAATTTGGGAGGAGGAATCTCAATTTTGACCATGGTCACCTTGAGAAGAAGGACAATTCTTTTCATCAGAGGGAAAGCACCAAGCACCAGTGTTTCAAAAGCATATGAGAGGCAGCCTCTAAGAGGCCAAGGGCACCCAGACCTGTTTGTCCTGGCAGCTTTCACTTGGGAGCAATTCTTGGATGTACCGAGTTTTGGAGGAGGAATCCCAATTTCAGCCATGGCCCATGGAGCAGAAGGAGAGTTCTCTCCCATAGGAAGGAAAGCCAAAGGGCCAGTGAGAAGCAGCCCCCGACATGCCAAGGTGGTCAGGTGGTCCCCAGGAGGCCCAGCCAGCCAGACCTGGTCCATGTTCCCTTGGTTTGGTGGTGATGCCTTGAGAGGCTGCCTAGAACAGAGCTAGACAGTGTTAAAGGAATAAAGCAGGTATTTATTAAAAGGCCTTCAAGGGATACACCTTGGACAGTACAAAAGCCTGGCCCTGGCTCCATCCTAGATGGAGACCAGGTCACGAGTTTTCACTGGGAAAAACAGGGAGATTCGGTCTGGCAGGATGTGTAAAACAATCTCCTGTAATATCTACTTGTTCTCACACAGAGCACTTGGCTGCAGGGACACATTCCCATCGTTCCTGCCCAGGTTTCAGGATTCAAACACTGCTGTCCTTCCCAGGACCTGTTCCTTCAGCTGCCTCGGGAGGGCCTTTTGGCCTCTGGACCCACACTCTGGCTCCACTATTAGCACTGCTGGATCCAAACCCTTTATCTTCACCAACACCAGTGATTTCAGGTGGATCTCCTTTTTTCCCCAATTGTTTTAAACCTTGGCAAAATCAATAATTGTGCTACCCTGCCATGGGTTTGAACAATCCAATCTTGTTCACTATTGTTTAACCGAATTCCTTCAATTTCTCCTTGATAGTCTGCATCAGTTCCTCCTCCCATGACATGAGTACTTTGCAAGGCCAAGCTCCAATGAGCAGTTACCAAACCAAAGTGTCCTGGAGGAATCTGGATTCCTGTTCCTGTATTGTTAACTCTCATTTGCTTCTGATTTATCCTAACTAATTCCAGTGGATGAAGGTCCAGCCCTGCAGCCTCTGGGCTGGCCCTGCCAGGGCCATCACACCCAGAACAATTTCCCAGGCAGTCCCAGTCTCACTGTCCATGGCTGTATTTGCACATTGGGAGCAGCCGTGCACAGCCAGGGGGTTTCCATTTCCCCAGGGCCATTGTTAAGGGCATGGAGCACATCTGGGAGATGGGCTTTTCATGGGGACAGGTTTGCATCTCCTCATTTATTCAACTGCTCTTTTAACAACCCCTTCACTCATTCAACCAATCCTGCAGCTTGTGGATTGTCTGGTACATGAAAAACTCAGCAGTCTTAATCACTTTATTTCTCATGTAATAGAAAAACATTCTGCATCACAGTATCAGCAAACCCTATAAAAATAGCCAATTTTATCCCTTCCTCCTTTATTCATTGAATGCAATCTTACAGAGTTTACCACTGACATTTGAGTCATGGCCGGTCCTTTTCTGTAGGGTCTTCAGTGTCACAGCGAGAAGACAAAGATGACAAATTGGTATTGTCAGCATTATTTCACATGATCAATTTTAATTACATCTAAAAATATATATGATAGTTTTATATTTTTATATAACTGCTATTATTATTAATAATAATTATATTATATTTCACTTGCAGAAATGAACCTGAGTTCATAATTTAAACCTTCCTCTCTCCCTCCATGTGGGAGCATTCCAAAACCAATTCTTCCTTCTGTTGGTGCTATTTCAAATGTGCTGTTAACAAAATTCACCCTCATCTTCCCAAACCCACAAGTTCTTTTCCTTCCTCCATATGCAATTTTTGGATGCATTTTAAGCCATCCAGGGGTTTAGCCTCTTTTAACCAACTGCCCCACTGCTCACAAGGTACTCTGACCTCAGCCCACTCCAGAGCCAGGTAACTCCAGGGAAGGGCTTCCCATCTGGGAATTTCTGATGGGACTGATTCCTCACATTTACATTTAAAAAGTGCCATTTTGTTGTGATCTGGCCAGACTGTGCCAGTTTTGTTGAACCAGTGGGCAGGGTCAGCACCAAAGACACAGACACCAGCTGAAGGAATCAGTGCCATTGACTGTAGCTCAAAGCAGCAAAGAATCACAGCAGGAGCAGCTCAGCAATGCACCCAACCATCACCATCAAAGATTGCAGCAGTGGTTAAGAAATGTCTAACACCAGTTACCCTCATGTTTTGCCATCCCCCAGTGTGGGAACTCAAAATGTCTCTCAGGCATTTTTAGAGGTTCCAGGCCTTGGTCAGAAGCATTCTAGACCCTGGCAGACAGCTGAAAAACAGCTGTGATTTTGAGTTTGAGCCATGGAATGAATTGCCAACTTTGGAGGTGGAACAAGCAGTCACAAAAGGTTAGATAGTATAGTAAAAGTAGTTACAAAGTAGAGGGGAAATTTTTTTAGTATTGTACAGGGGGGTTTTAACACATGTACAGGGGGGTTTTCACTTTGTACATGGGGGTCAGAAGTTCTAAGATGGAGGAAAGTGGGCTGATCCTGTTCTTCCTCCTTCTTTTTCCTTACCTCCATGTTCTTGGTGATGTTGGCACTCACAGATTGGTTTAGAGTAGAAAAACACTTGGCAACGTAGGTAGTAGGCATTGGGGAATAATTGTAAACATGTAATACGTAATATATCATATAAAAGATAGCAGCAGCCCTGGGCGGGGGGGAGAGACGAAGAAGACAGCAGATAGAGAGGATGTCAGTGTGTGTGTGTGCCTCTACCCAGGCCGCTGATCAAATAGCCGCAGTCCAAGAACATAATCTGTTAGATAACTAGCAATAAACTGCCTTGAGACTGAACAGCTAAAGCCTGTGGAGTTTTTCTTTGGAAGCACGGGTTGGAGGAGGAATTTCACCACCACATGAGACCCCAGAGCAAGGCCGGGGTTCTCACACCCCATATCCACACAGCGGCTGGAGAAGCTGTCACAGCCAAGGGCTGCAGAGCCACTCCTGGACACTGGGAATTCCTGCAGGTGCCTCCAGCCACAGGTGAGGCTCCAGCCTCGCTGGGAGAGGGCCCAGCTCTGATACTGCTGAATGAACAAACTGACAGCACTTCTGGTGCGGGAACATCTGGACCACCAGACCCCCACAAAACCCCTCCATGGCCCCCCAGACCCCTCACCAAAACCTCTGCGAACTCACCCCAGACCTCCAAAGACCTCCCCAAGACCCCTCCCCCAGGACCCCTCAAAGCCCTCCCAAAACCCAGCCCAGGACCCCTCCAGGACCCCCAGACCCCTCCCAAAACTCCCCCCGGACCCCTCCTCAAAGGCCCCGATCCCCCAGGACCCCTCCCCAGCCCCCCAGCCCCTGTGCGGACCCCCCTCCCCAGTGGCGCCGCCCCAGCCGCTCCCGCAGCTCCGGCCTCTCCCAGCGCCTCCCCCGCTCTGGCAGCGCCGCCTGCAGGACCCGCCCGACCCTGCTCCCGGCTCCCTCTGATTGGCTGCAGCACCGCGGGGAGGCGGGCACTGCTGAGGAGAGCCCCGTGGTGATTGGTTGGTTCGGCACGGGGCGCACCTCTATTGGCTGGGGAGCCCGCGCGCGCGGCGGAGGTGGGAAACTGTGAGGGGAGCGGGGCTGAGGAGGAGCTGAGGGGGGGCCGGGGAGAGCTGGGGGGGTTTGGGGCAGGTCTGGGGAGAAATTGGGGATTCTGGGGGGAATTGATGGTGTTATGTATAGTAAATATAATTCGCGCCATTCCTTGTATGAAATATGTAATATTGGATGCTTGTTAAATCATGCCCGTTGTATTAGTTCCTCCCCCCCTCCTCCCCCTTTTTGTAGGTAAGACTTGAGTGTATACTGGAAACTGATTTACAAGTAAACAGATGTGGCTCGCTCGGCCGGGAGATGGGCCATTGTCTGCTGATCGTCTGTGCTGATCGTCCAAGATGGATATCATGGAAATACTCAGACAGATCCATGTGAATGAAGCCTTCCCGTAAACACCCAACATTGAATTTTTCTACTCATCACCAAAAAGAAATCCTTATTAACATATGGACTCCAAATAGAAGAAAGGACTGATTGCTAAAACCTTGGCCTCAGGCAGAATTTTCCCTATAAAACCTGCATGTGCCAGGATGGAGGTGTGTGGGCATAGGAGAAAACCTCTGCTGAGGCTGACTCCTTGTTGCACACCCAGGGTCGATCCCGGGCTCGGCTCTGTCCTTTCCGTGTGGCTGACTAGATAGAATCTGACCGCAAACAAAATTATTTTTATTTTTAATCTGGCTGAATAAATTCTCATTTATAACAATGGGAAATAGGGGGTGTGTGGTGGGTTGGGGGGGTGGAATGAGGGGGTCTGAGGGAGCTTTGGTAGGTCTCAGGAGGCTTTTAGGGAGCTTTGGTTGGTGTTTGAGAGGGTCTGGAGTGTTCTCAGGGGGTTCTGAGGGGCATTGGAATTATGAGAGGAACTGGGAGGTTCTGAGGGGATTTCATAGAGTTTGAGAGGGATTGAGGGGTCTGAAGGGGCATTGGGGAGAGTTTGAGAGGGTTTGGAGCATCCTCAGGTGGGTTTAAGGGGATCTGAGGGGAACTGGGGGGGTCTGAGAGGGTTTTTGGGGTGTTTGTGAGAGGAACTGTGGCGTTCTGAGGGGATCTGGGGTTCTGAGGGTGGTGTGGGGGAATTTGCAGGAATCTGAGGGGATTTCATTGGGTTTGGGCAGGATTGAGGGGTCTGAGGGGGATTTGGGGCAGCCTGATGGGATTTCGGGGGTCTCAGGTGAGCCTGGGGTCAATTTTGGGGGTAACATGGGGGATCTGGGGGTAACTGGGAGGTTTAGGTGGGTCTGGGGTGGATATGGGGCTCTGGGAGCACCTAAAGGGGTGCCGGGGTGTGGGAACTCAAAATGTCTCTCAGACATTTTTAGAGGTTCCAGGCCTTGGTCGGAAGCATTTTAGACCCTGGCAGGCAGCTGAAAAACAGCTGTGATTTTGAGTTTGAGCCATGGAATGAGTTACCAGCTTTGGAGGTGGAACAAGCAGTCACAAAAGGTTAAATAGTATAGTATAAGTAATTACAAAGTAGAGGGGAAATTTTTTTAGTGTTGTACAGGGGGGTTTTAACACATGTACGGGGGGTTTTCACTTTGTACATGGGGGTCAGAAGTTCTAAGATGGAGGAAAGTGGGCTGATCCTGTTCTTCCTCCTTCTTCTTCCTTACCTCCATGTTCTTGGTGATGTTGGCACTCACAGATTGGTTTAGAGTAGAAAAACACTTGGCAACGTAGGTAGTAGGTATTGGGGAATAATTGTAAACATGTAATACGTAATATATCATATAAAAGATAGCAGCAGCCCTGGGCGGGGGGGAGAGACGAAGAAGACAGCAGATAGAGAGGATGTCAGTGTGTGTGTGTGCCTCTACCCAGGCCGCTGATCAAATAGCCGCAGTCCAAGAACATAATCTGTTAGATAACTAGCAATAAACTGCCTTGAGACCGAACAGCTAAAGCCTGCGGAGTTTTTCTTTGGAAGCACGGGTTGGAGGAGGAATTTCACCACCATATGAGACCCCAGAGCAAGGCTGTGGTTCTCACACCAGGGGTGAAGGGGTCACAGCCCCCATATGCCCCCTGAAGCCCCCCTGTCCCCACAGAGAGGTCCCGGCCCTGGCGGTGCAGGATCCCCGGCCCCAGCCCAGCATCTCCATCAACAGTCTGAACCAGGAGATCAAGGAGGACGGGGGGGCTGGGGGGTCCTGGGGGCTCTGAGAGTGTCCCTGGGTGTCCCCAGGGCCTCAGGCTGTCCCCTGGGTGTCCCCAGAGCTGGAGAATTTCCTCTATGCCATTTCCTCACGGTTTGGGCAGATTTTGGACATCTTGGTGTGGCCCAGTCTCTGTCTGCGGGGCCAGGCCTTCCTCACCTTCAGGGAGATGAGCAGCGCCACCAACGCCCTGCGCTCCCTGCAGGGCTTCCCCTCCTGCGGCCAACCCGTGGTGAGACAGAGACTGGGGGAGTTCTGACATTTGGGAAAGAATTGGAATTCTGGGGAAAACCCGCCAAACTCTGGCCTCAGCTATCCCCAAAATCCAACTTGGAATTCCTTCAAATTCATCCTGAACACCCAAAAGCTTCCCCTTTTTTGACAAACCCAGAGACAGAAATAATGGGGAAAAAAATTCAAATTATGGGAAAAATCCCCAAATTTTTGGGAAAAAAGCCTGAATTCATGGGAAAATAACCCCAAATCCAGCTTCAAATATCCCGAAATCTAACCAGAAACCACCTGAATACACCCCAAATCCATCAAAGCTTCCCCTTCTATGACAAGCCCAAGCTGAGAGAGAAATCTGAGCAAGAGTCCTGGAATTTTGGGAACATTCCTGAAATTCTGGGGGGGAAAAAAACCCAAAATCCTTGGAAGAAGCCCAAATGCAGCCTCAATTATCCCTAAAATCCACATTAGAACCACTCAAACCTTCCCCTTCTGGGAGAAACCCATGGTGAGAACAGAGTCGTGGGGAAAATACCCAAATTTTGAGAAAAATTCCAAAATTCTGGGGAAAAAAGTCCAAAATTCAGTTGGGAACCCACCCAAAATCTCATGGAAAACACCCTAATCCAGCTAGGAACCCCCAGAATTCACAATGAATGTACCAAAACTTCCCCTTCAGATCCTTGAAAAAACAGGAAATTTTGGGAAAAAGCCCAAAATCCTGGGAAGAAACATAAATCCAGGCAGTCCATCCCTACTTTCCTGGGAATGACCCCAAATCCCTGTTGGAACCTCCCCAGTTCTTCTGAATTCCCCCAGAATTCCTCTGAAATTCCCCAAATTCCTTCTAGGACTTCCCAAAATCCCTCAATAACATCCCAAGTTGCTTTTGGAACTCCCCCAAATCTTATCTGGAACTTCTCCAAATCTCTCAGAACCCCTGAAAATCCCTTGGAAAACCCCAAAATCCCTCTTGGAACTCTCCCAAATCCCTTAGAATTCCCCCAAACCCCTCAGAAAGCCCCAAATCCCCTCTGGAACCTCTTCCAGATCCCCACAAAATATTCAGGAACAACCCCCAAACCCCCTGAGCCGTCCCCAGCTCCCCCCGGACTGATCCCAAATCCCCCCGGAACCAGTCCCTCGGGAAGCCGCAGATCCCCGGGAGCCGCCGGGCAGCGCCGGGAAAGCCCAAAGCCCCGCGGCAGTGCCGCATCCCGGCCGGAGCTGCCCCGGGAGCCCCGCGGGGCCGGGGCCGGGGCCGGGATGCGCCGTCCCAGCGGATCCAGCGCGCCCGGCCGGGCTCGGCCAGCGCGGCCCAGGGCAGGGAGCGCTGGTGGGGCGGGAGCGGGAGCGGAGCGCGAACGGGACCAGCGCAGAGCCAAGGGGGGAGAGGCCCCGGCCCCACAGAGAGCGGGGCCGGAGCGCGGGGCCGGCCGGGGATGGCTCGGGGATTGTTCCGGGCGATTCGGGCGCTCGCAGCGATCTCTGCGGGATTCTTGGGCTGCTTCTGGGAGGATTTGTTGGGGCTTGGTGGGATTTTGAGGGAAGTTTTTGTGGGGATTTTCTGGGTAGGTTCCTCGGGCTTTGAGTGAGATGTGAAGAGACTGTCTTGGTTAGACAAGACAGGAGTCTGTGAAAGAGGGCAAAGCCTCCTGTGCAATGGAGAACGGCAAACCCCCCTCCCTCTGAATTACGAGGATCTTTAAATTAAAAGGCTCTCAGGCAAAGATATGGGAGTGGGAGTAACAATTCTTTACTAGGAGAAAACTAGACAACAATTTAAAAAGG